ATTATGGAGTGAAGCTTCTAATGTTAGGAGGAAAAGTTTTATTAGTTTGTCCTCTGTCTTAAATTCTTTTCTTTTTAAAACTCATTCCAAAAAGTCTTTGCTTCACAGAGGTGAACATTGGATTTGTAGCCTTAGTGCTGGTATCTACTTTTTTTTTTAACATGTTTTTGGTTGTAGGGCTTAACTCTGGGCCTGGTTACTGTCCCTCGGCTCAAAGCCAGCACTTTACCACTTGAGCCACAGCGCCACTTCTGGTTTTCTGGTTTTAATTGGAGATAAGAATCTCATGGAAGCCGGGCGCTGGTGGCTCACGCCTGTAATCCTAGCTACTCAGGAGGCTGAGATGTGAGGATCGAGGTTCAAAGCCATCCCGGGCAGGAGAGACCGTGAGACTCCTATCTCCAATAAACCACCACAAAACCGGAAGTGGCGCTGTAGCTCAAGTGGTAGAGGGGGCTCGCCTATGAGCTGAGGGACAGCGCCCAGGCCCAGAGTTCAAGCCCCACGACCGACCAAAAAAAAAAAAAAAAGAATCTCATGGACTTTCCTGCTCAGGCTGGCTTTGAACCTTTATCCTCAGATCTCAGCCTCCTGATTAGCTAGGATTACAAGCATGGGCCACTGGTGCCTGGCGATATTGAAAGACTCCAATCTCAACACATAGGCCCCTTGTCTTACAGGGTGCATTAAGAGGCACAGATCTGGGCTGGGAAGGTGGCTCAGTGGTAGAGCGCTTGCCTTGCATGCCTGAGGCCCTGGGTTCGATTCCTCAGCACCACATAGGCAAAAAGAAAAAAGCCGGAAGTGGCGCTTTGGCTCAAGTGGTAGAGTGCTAGCCTTGAGCTGAGGGACAGCGCCCAGGCCCAGAGTTCAGGGCCCATGACCGGACCCAAAAAAAAAAAAAGAGGCACAGATCTGAGAGGTGGGGAGAAGCATGAGGTATGAGAGGCCTAAAGGGGACAAGATCATCAGAAACTGCTTGATAAGTGCCAGTGAAAGGCAAGGTGATCCTAGAATTCGGAGGAGGATGTATTAATTCCATTTTAGTTCTGTTAATACTGGAGGCATTATACACCAAACTAGGAGAGTTACTCATTTTCCTCTACCTGTGTGATTCTTTAACAAAACTACTGGGGATTGGCATATGCCTGTTACCCAGGTACTAGAGAGGTTTTAGTCAGTAAGAGTGAGACGAGGCAATTTAGCAACAACTTTCCTCAAAATTATAAATAATAATAAAACAAAATGAGCCAGGTGCTGGTGACTCATCTCCAATCCTGATTACTCAGAAAGCAACCAAGTGCTGAGCCTGATTCCCAGCTAGCCACCAAAAAGCTGGAAGTGGAGCTATGGCTCATGTGGTAGGAGTGCCATCTTTGAGGGAAAAAAATATAGTAAAAAACAGACCTAGGGACTGGAAATGTGGCTTAGTGCTGGGCTTGCCTAGCATGCATGAAGCCCTGGGTTTGATTCCTCAGTACCACATAAGCAGAAAAGCTGGAAGTAGTGCTATGGCTCAAGTGGTAGAGTGCTATCCTTGAACACAAAGAGGGTCACGGACAGAGTCTAGGCCCTGAGTTCAAGCCCAGGACTGGCAAAGAGAAAAAGATCTAGGATGACAGTGAACTTGCACAGTTCTCAGTAAGTAGTTGAGTCATGAGTGGCCCCATTTCTGACTCCAGGAGCATTTCTTGAACATTTCTTAGGAGGGTTAGCACTGCCTGCACTGCTGCTCATAGCAACACAGTAACGTAGGCATTAATATCCTCATTTTACAGCCCGTGAGATAGATAAGCTTGGAAAGAGACCAGGACATGCCATAATTCTCTCTGTGATAGCAATCTCTAATCCAGGTTTTGGCCCTAGTCTCTCTGATCTTAAGACAGAATGAATGGGATGAAATTAACAGAGACAGACTGGGGCTTATAAGGAATGATTGTACTATACAAGGTAACAACAAAGTACTTCATTCCCACATCACTAGAGACATTCAAGCAAATGCTAGAAAATCATTCAAGAATGTTCAGTGGTAAGAGTGAAGTGAACTATTAGAAAAAGGCAGAGGAAAACATATAAATGAAGGCTTTTACATATTTATAAACAGAAAAACTTTTTTAGAAAAACTAATTGACACTTAACCCTTCTGGCTACTCATATATTAGAAAGAATTTTCTCAGTCTTTGCTATTCAGACAGATTTAGTCCAAAAGAGGGATTTCTGGGGGGGGATGGGAGGGTCAGTCATGGGGCTCAAACTTAGGGCCTAGGAACTAGCTCTAGGCTAGTGCTCTAGCCCTTTGAGTCACAGCACCACTTCCGGTTTTCTGGTGGTTAACTGGAGATGAGTCTCATGGACTTTCCTGCCCTGGCTGGCTTTGAACCACGATCCTCAGATCTCAGCCTAGGATTACAGGTGTGAGCCACAGGCACCCAGTGAATACTTATTTGTATGTTATACAGAAAATCCAAAGCTATTTGTTTTTTTTCAAATAAATATACAGATGTTTAAGTAAGAATTTCTAACTTGCTGATGTGCCTTTATGTCAAAATATTTTTACAAATCATCTTTATTCACACCTGCAGAGTTATGTCTGCTCAGCTCTGAAGTTGATATGTGGTTGAATTCAGAAGGTATGAATGTTCCAGACTCTTGGGTTGCCAATGCTTTCTCATTTAAAAAGTAGGCCAAAGCAGGCACTTGTAATCCTAACCACTTAGAAGGCTAAGATCTGAGGATTGCAGTTCAGAGCAGCCCAGGCAGGAAAATCTGTTAGACTCTTATCTCCAATTAACTACCAAAACACCAGAAATAGTGCTGTGGCTCAAAATGGTAGAGCACCAGCCTTGAGCACAAAAGCTCAGGGATAGTGCCCAAGCCCTGAGTTAAAGCCCCTGGACTAGCATACTCAAAACAAAGATTAGTCTGGGTTTTTATCCCCAGGATTAGTAGTTTAAAAATGAATTGGACAGAACAAAGGCAGGCCACGTGACCCACTTATTATCCTGCTGATAATTAGGCACTGTGAATTCTTGAGTGGTGGTTTTTGTCAGGTTTCTTGTTTATTATTTTGTGTGTGGTTCTGGGGGTTTACTCAGGGCCTTGTGCTTGCTAGGCTGAATCAACTCTGAATCAGCTGCCCCTCCCACCCTGTTTTACACAGGTTATTTTTAAGATAGGGTCTTGCATTCCATATGGACACTTTTTTTGTTGACCAGTTTATCCTGGCACCATGATCCTCCAGTCTTAGCCTCCCATGTAGCTTGGTATGACAGACACACTTCTGTGCCCTGATATGGGTAAAGAAGTGGCCTTTTTTTTTTGGGGGGGGGGTCTAGTCGTGGGCCTGAACTCTGGGCCTGGGCGCTGTCCCTCAGCTCTTCAGCTCAAGGCTAGCACTCTACCACTTGAGGCACAGCGCCACTTCCGGCTTTTTTCTTTTTGCTTATGTGGTGCTGAGGAATCAAACCCAGGACCTCAAGCATGCAAGGCAAGCGCTCTACCACTGAGCCACCTTCCCAGCCCAAGAACTGGCCTCTTAAGTTGTTCTGCCAGGACTGGCCTCAAACTGCAATCCTTCCATTCTCAGCCTTCCAAGTAGCTAGAATTATAGGCGTGAGTCACCAGTGTCCAGCCCTTTGGTATTTTGGATTCCTAACCATGAAGTAAGAACATCTTCATAAAAAATTTTGTTGAAACATTACTTAAATAACAAATACACTGAAATCATTTTTACACTGTCATACACCACCACTGGGTTATGTTTAATATTAATAGGCTGGTTGCAATAAAGAAATGGCTTTTTCTTTTTACTTTTTTTGGGGGGAGGGGGGCTAGTCCTGGGACTTGGACTCAGGGCCTTAGCACTGTCCCTAATGCTTCTTTTTGCTCAAGGCTAGTACTCTACCACTTGAGCCACAGCACCACTTGTGGCTTTTTCTGTTTATGTGGTGCTGAGGAATTGAACCCAGGGATTTGTGTATGCTAGGCAAGTACTTTACCACTAAGCCACATTCTCAGCCCAACTTTCTCTTTTTAAAGAACTCCAAGCTTGAAGTAACTTCACTCTCTGGGTGCTTGGTGGTGGTAATAAACAGCCCTGGAAGGCAAGTGGGGAGAGTTAACGAAAGTGAGGCAAGGAGACCTTGTACCTCTAAGGCAATGAGGCACCTCCTGTGAGGTGCTTTTGGGTGGGAAGGAGAAATGGCCCCTTGTCATACTTGGAGCACTGCTGCATCTTGGATAGGAAAGAAGCAGGCCTAAGGAGAATTATTTAGGAATTTTGTCCACAGAGAGATGGAGGGTCTGCTGAGGGTTGGCTTTGGTATGAAACCTGGGCACTGAGCAAGAGGTTTGATGGAAGGTACAGGGCCAGTAAAGACAGCACAGATAGTCACAGCACTGCCTAGCAACTTCCATGGAAGAGGAGAATGAATGTGTATTTCAGTGTTGTGACCTCAAATGACCATCTGTATAATCCAGATCATATGGTGTTCCCTGGCATTTTGACCCCTAATTTCCCTTGGTATCTAATTTATGGGGTCAGTGCTTTGACATTTCAATGTGCTCTTAAAATCCAGCCCTCCAAGGAAAATTGTACAAGTTCACTTAACTCCACAGTCCCATTATACCTTAGGCTCTGTATATAGTTGGGCTTCTCATCCTGATTTTATATGTCACCTTCATACTATTTTGCAACCAAAGTGCATGTTGTATCATTTGCCCAAATCAATATTGCTCAAGGTCTTGCCTCCTCTAAGCCAAGGTTCTTGTCTCTAGCTTGTTCATAGCACATGGAGGAAATTTAGAAACATTGTTAGCTGATTAGCACTATCATTCCACAACTGATTGCACTCACATGTGGTGCCTGTCCACTGGAACTGTACCTTTGAAGGAGGTCATCAAGAGAGGGACTGCTTGTGGTATGGTGTTCTTGCTGTTCTCTCCAGGCCTCACCTCTGTTCTGATCTCCACTGCTTTGTTTCCTACTCTCCCCTGTGCAGAGACAGGGCAGGGCATTGTTCATGCACTGACCGACCTCAGCAGCCCCGGCATGACCTCAGGGAACGGAAACTCTGCCTCCAGCATCACCGGCACTGCCCCCCAGAATGGTGAGAATAAACCACCACAGGCCATTGTGAAACCCCAAATCCTGACGCATGTTATCGAAGGGTTTGTGATCCAGGAGGGGGCGGAGCCTTTCCCGGTACGGACTACTTCTTTTCCCCTCTCTTTTTTTTTAAAAGTATATTTTGGATGTATATTAGAATATTTTTACATATCCATGTAAATTTTCTGAAAATGTGAAGTTTGCTCTTTTCTTTGCTAATCCTCCAAAGAGTGTTGGAACCTTTTCTTTCTAGGATTAAGGGTATCCAAAGTCCTCAGTGACCAGGAATAATTGGCAAGACCCATTAGGTAGAGGGGAGTTACTTCACTTTGGGGTATTTAGTGAGAGACTGTAGATCTTGGAAATAATAGACCTCATCAGTTTTGGTGTCAAAACCTTGAATGGCAAAATGGTGGCCAGTTAGAGCAAAAGGAACCTGCTTAGCACAGGGTTCTCAAGATGTTATCAGAAACAAAGATAGGGGAGCCTGTTCCTTGGGCACAGCCTTGAAAGGAGGATGAATAAGATCGAAGGGCATTCAGAAAGCATAGTCAGAGGTCTCCAGTGCAATAGAACCAAAAGAAGCCAAGATGATTTTATTAGAGCACCCAGAGCTGGTTCTATGCAGTATGTTGCTAGGGCAGGCGGTTTGTTCTGTAGGTATGCAGAGCCTAGAGCCAGTACACACTAGCCTCATACAAGAATTATCTAACTGTTAGAGACGCCATCTTCCTGGATGCCATCTGCTTTTGCTCATTCTTTGGATCCATAGGTGGTTTGCGTAGACAGCAGAGAACTGGACTGACTTAAAATGGTTGAACTGCCTTCTCAAATGCCAAAAGACCAAATGGGTCCTTGTCCTCTTCTTGACCAAGGCCAGTGATAAAGAAATCCACAGAAACACCTTAGCTGTAAGAAACTAGGTCCTCCCTGGCCTGAAGAAACAATGGGAACTAGCTGGTGTCTTAGGCAGATGTGACTGAACGCCACACTGGCATCTCCCTAGAGTTAGATACGCCTTGTGAGCTGGCCCTAGGCCACCCAAAGGGGAGGACCAAAGAAGTGAACAAGCCAGCCTGAGGTCTGGCAGCCATGGGGTATAGCTCTTTCTTGTGCTCCCTGTGGCTGCATGTACCTCTGACTTCAGTAGGGCAGTGGTAAAGTGGAGAATAAGAATTCAGAAAAGGGGTGCTGAGTCTCTTTCATAAATACACTCAAATGTACAGACTTAGCCCTGCTCCTACCTAGTGAGCTCTGGGCCTGTTACTTGATCTGATACTGTAAGAAACCTCATCTCTGTCCTGGAAGAATAGATACTCTCCTGACCATCCTGGCCATCCACTGGTTCTGGACCAAAGCCATTCCTGTACTTTGGTGCCTACTGTTTCTTGCCTATGAGCTAGACAATAGGATCAGGCCTTGAGGGGGGGAACTGTGGCTGATGACATGGGGGGAGGGGATGGTGCTTCAGGAGGGATCTGGCATCTGCCTGGCTGCTTTTTAACCTGTAATTGTGATGAGGCTGCACAGCAAGGATGTGTTCTAGCTTAACCCTCCTGGCTTCCATGTCACCTGTCCTCTAGGTGGGACGCTCGTCCCTGCTGGTGGGGAATCTCAAGAAGAAGTATGCCCAGGGGTTCTTGGCTGAGAAGCTTCCGCAGCAGGACCATACCACCACCACTGACTCTGAGATGGAGGAGCCCTACCTGCAAGGTAGGTACCTGAGCCAGGGATCTCAGGCCTTTTGAGTTGACAGGAAGGGAAGGCCTATACTCCCCCTTTCTCACTGTCCATGGAGGACTCTGAGCAAGGATTCCTGTCCACCGAGCATTGCCACAGTCCATTTATCCCTAGAGAATAGGGAACCGTTTATCCCCTGCTTCTCCAGCCCTGCTCCAGCCCAACACTATCTTAAGAATTGTACTTCCTATGACACACATTGGCAAGTCCCAGGAGCAGATGTGAGGACAGCAGCAGGCAGGCTTGCCCTCCTCAGAAGCCTGCACTTGGAATGGGTGGCCCTGAAGTGTAGCAGTGGCCAAGCATGGACTATACTTGGCACACGTGAGCTGCTGCTTCACTCATGCTCATGAAGGAGGGTGCTTACTCTGCACACCTGTATGGTGCCTTAGGCTCACAGCACTCGGAAGAAGAGCTGTCTAGTTTACCATGTGTCCTTGCAAACTTTCCAACCAGGAATCACAGCCCTTCTAAAGCAAGTGGTGAAAGCACTTTAGTATGTGTCAGACAGACTAGACCTACTGTGTGTCACACCCATGGGAACATGAGGGAGAGTCAGGCGGAGTACAGAGGCCTGTGTTGGAGCTGTCACAGTCCTTCAGGAATTCCTCCCCCTCCACACTTACCATTTCTACTACTTTTCAGAATCCAAAGAGGAGGGTACTCCCCTCAAACTCAAGTGTGAGCTCTGTGGCCGGGTGGACTTTGCCTATAAGTTCAAGCGCTCCAAGCGCTTCTGTTCCATGGCTTGTGCAAAGAGGTGAGTGGCCTCAGCCCTGCTGCCATGTGCAGCACTTCATTTCTCCTCAGCATTTCACCTTGGAATCTTGCTTTTACACCTGTCCTCCCCCCAATAACTGTCCACCTTGGAGGCCATAAATGCAGCTCATCCAGGTGCCTATTTCCTTGACCCGCCTGGTGTAGCGTTCCATCCCTAACATACCAAGCCTAAGAAACCATATACCTGGAGGGAGTGGTGATATCAGAGAGGAGCAGCCTGGAGGAAGGAAGCAGCCCTTTAGCTGGGTGGCCTCCTGGGTCCTAGTGGTACCTGTTCTTCACCTGCTACCTCCTTAGGGAAAGCACTGCATCAGAGACTTTTGCCCAGAACGCTGACACTAGGTACAGTGTCCCTGTGATAACCTATCTTTAGGGACTGATGGGCATAATAAAAACCACTATGGTTTATTGAGAACGTGCTGCATGTCTGGTATTATGCTAGTCAGTTGGTATCTATGGCCTCATCTACAAAATAACTGTAGGGCAGCTGTCTCAATTGTATTTTTACTGTTGTCTGCTTTGTAGAGGTTGGAAAATTAAGACACAGTTATTCTGAATGTCATACAGCTAGTGAGTTACAGATTTTGGAATTTAGACTTTTCTGAACCTAAAGCCCTATGTAATCTCTGTGTCAAAGTAGAAGTGGCTGAGCTTAAAGTTCAAAGCCCCAAAGGTAATGTCTGTGTCTCAGGCAGTGGTACCCTGCCTGCTGTGCTGGAGTTCTTGTCCTCAGCCCTCAGCCCCTGAGGCTATGCTAGAGGTAGTCGGGGCCCTTTACACAAGCTTCACCTGGCTTGTCCTGCTGGACAGTGGACAGACATTTCCTGGCACAGGTAGTTATAGTAGAGTGTGTCTAACATGCTACAAGTGGTTGTGTAATACATCAGTGACAGTTCCTCGTGTCACTGTGACACCGTCCTTACATGGTGGCCCAGAGTCTCCAACTAGCAGTACATGATGGAGTCAGGATTCAAACCAATGAATAGTCTCAATTTTGCCTAACAGCTTGGCTGTTCTTATTCTGACTAGCACCCAGGAGCCCTGAGGTAGCTCTGACTTCCTGCTTCCTTGTTCTGACAGGTACAATGTGGGATGCACCAAACGAGTGGGACTTTTCCACTCAGACCGGAGCAAGCTGCAGAAGTCAGGAGCCACAACCCATAACCGCCGTCGGGCTAGCAAGGCCAGTCTGCCACCACTTACCAAGGATACCAAGAAGCAGGTGAGAGGTCCACTTCCCACAGATGCCTACCATCCTCCTTTCTGACCTGACCCTGACACCCTGTTCCCTTCCCACAGCTCATTACTGCACGCTTCACACTGTCTTCCATCCCACATTGGGTCTCATAGGTGAAGCCTTCCTGTGCCTCTTAGTAGATCCCTTACAAAGTACCTTGCCCAGAACCATCCCCATCATGCAGTTGAGCTCTACCCTTGACTTCTGGGCCCAGGAGATTGGACCTCCCCTGCAGGCCCTCTGAAAACAAGCTGTTTAGGTCACCCCATCACACATGGAGGGCTGGGTGAGATGACAGCTTCCACATTTTGCCACATGGACACTGGAGCACTGAATTTTTGGAACTTCCCACCAGCAATCTGGGCATTTGTCCATTCAGTAGTTTTCAGTCCCAGTTCCATGCTGGGAACTCTAGTGTGGCTAAAGCTCCAAGGACACAGTCTTAAAGGAACTCATAGTCCTGTGTGACCTTTCTTAACCTTATGCTCAATTTTGCTTACGATGGTGGTTTTTGTCTTAAAGCATCTAATGAAAAGCCTTGGTCCAAAGTGAACATGCGTAAAAAGTTCCAGATGCTCCAGGTGTTCATGCTGTTCCAAGAAGTTCATAGACCCAGAGAGCCCAGATTTAAAAGGTCACATTTAAAAGAAAAGGTAGACATTGATATCACTTCAGGACAGTGCAAAGCATGGGGGCAGTACCGGGGATGATTCAGGTTCAGCGATGGAGCAGCAGAAAGGTACTGTTTGATGCAGGAATCCAGGATGCCATGGTGGACTCAGAAGAAAAGGAAGACTGTTTCACTGCCTTTGCCCCTCAGAGCTGCCAGTGGTGGCTTGTTCCCCTTCTGAGGAAAGCTGTTTCTTTCTGCTCCCAGTCAACAGGCACTGTACCCCTTTCAGTTACTACTGCCTTGCAGCTGACACACAGCCAGGAAGACTCCAGCCGTTGCTCAGATAACTCAAGCTATGAGGAACCATTGTCACCCATCTCAGCCAGTTCGTCCACCTCACGCCGCCGACAAGGGCAGCGGGATCTGGAGCTCCCTGACATGCACATGCGGGACCTGGTAGGCATGGGGCACCACTTCCTCCCGAGTGAGCCTACTAAGTGGAACGTGGAAGATGTCTATGAATTCATTCGTTCTCTGCCAGGTAAAGGCCTGTCTGGGTCAGCACAGAATGGGAGGGAAGGACTGATGGAAGTAGTTCAAGATAATAACTCAGTTTCTAGAACTAGGAGGCAGAAATTAAGTACACAAGGCTTCTGCCCCTGAGAGCTTATATTCTAGCCCAGAAAAAACCTGAGTAATATTCCATAGCTATAATGTAAAATAGATACTGACAGGGTAAATGATTTGTGCAAAATGCAGACCCTCTCTGGGGGCAAGAGGAGTGTCAGGTGGGAGCATAAGACATAAAAATTAAAAAAATTTTCAAGTCATACTGACCAAAGAGCTGCCCATGGGAGCAGCTGGAGCAGGGGCAGAAGTCACAGAATACCAGTGCAGCTGTGTAGCCCTTAGGACAGAGGTCAAGTACATCACACCTGGAAGGGCAGATCTTACAGCACTCCAAGATGTTCCCAAAGAGGACTTAAAAGACTCTTCTTTCTGCTACTCTCATCCATCCACTGCCCAAGTCAGGCATTGATGGCAGCCACAAGCCTGTAACTCAAGAGTGGAGGATGCTATAGAGGTTGGGAGCAGACTTCAAGCCACATAGAACTGGGTTTAAATCCCTGCGTTGAAACTTAACAAAGTATATGTGTTGTCTACATCATCCAGATTTGTCATAGTGTGGTTACTTTAGATAGATAAGGACTTTGGAAGGGGCAGTTATGCCTCAAGGTCTGTTTTTGAGCTGAATAGTATATGAGCCTTACCTGAAGACTCCTCGGAGCCCTTGGCTCAACCATCTTCTCTCTTTTTTTTCCCCAGGGCCTCACACTTGCTAGGCAGGTACACTACCACTTGAGCCATGGCCCCCAGTACGTCTTGGTTTTTTAGATTCTTCCCAGGATCAGCCTTAGACTACAACTGTCCTACCTATGCCTCCCTTATAGCTGAGAGCCCAGGCATGCCCCTACCACACCCAGATTGTTGGTTAAGATGAGGGTCTCACTTTTTGCCTGGGCTAGCCTCCAACCATGATCCTCCCAGGTAACTGGGATTACACTATGCTTAGCTGTCGTGAAGCCTTAATAAAACACCTAAGATCCACCCCTTCATTTTACATGTATACTGAGTTTTCTTGACTGTTTCATAATTTCAGCAGTGTTTGCCATCTGGAGAGACCAGGAGCTCCAGAACCAGCAAATACTGGCTCCCTGTGCTAAACAGCTTTGCCTTATTTTCCTCCTCCCTTTTTTACTATGAACAGCAATTCCATCACTATGCCTACCAAAAAATCTCTGTAGCTAGTGCTCTTCTGTTCATTAGGTGCATGTTATCACCAACGGTGTTGTCAAATTCTCTATGTCATAACAATATCAAATTGAATTTGTTTCTTCAGACCTCCGTTAGTAGTTTCCTCTCTCCCCTTAACCTCCCAGTAGTATACTCCATGGCCATCACACGTCTTCTCAGGGTCTCAAGACACCTTAGATATTCAGGCACTCCAGCTGCTACCCTGCCAGTTCCAAGGCCACAGCCATATAGTTAGAGGTTTTAATCTTCTCCAAAGTACCAAAATTGTGTTGGTCATCTGTCACTGTGATATAAATTACTCCAAAACATAGTGGCTTGAGGGGCTGGGATAGTGGGCTCAGTGGTATAGTGGTATAGTGCTTGCTTTGTTTGCATGAGGTCCTGGGTTCGATTCCTCAGCACCACATAAGCAGAAAAAGCCAGAAGTAGTGCTGTGGCTCAAGTGGTAGAGCGCTGGCCTTGAGCTGAAGAGCTCAGGGACAGCACCCAGGCCCAGAGTTCAGGCCCCATGACCGATGACCGATCCCCGCCCACTCCCCCCCCCCAAAAAAACATATATATATACATAGTGGCTTGAAAAATATTCACCTAGCAGTGCTGCAGGCTAGAAGTATGCAGAAGGCTCAGCTACGCAGCTCTGGCTGGGGCTCCTAGGTCTCGTAGGGTGTCAACCAGGACTGCAGTCTTCTGAAGGATTAGAGCTGCTTCCAAGCACTCACATGGCAATTGGGGCTGGTTTCTGGTAAAAGGCCACAGCTGCCCTCCACCAGGACCTCTCCTAAGAGCTGCTTGAGCTTTCTGACCTGGTGGTTTGCTTCCTTCGAAATAAGCTGCCTAAGCAGGATGCCAGTAGCTCACACCTGGAATCCTAGCTACTCAGGAGGCTAAGATCTGAGGATGTTGGTTCAAAGCCAATCCCAGAGCAGGAACATACATGAGACCCTTATCTCCAGTTAATCATCAAACAGCTAGGAGTGGAGCTGTGGATCAAGTGAGTGCTAGCTTAGAGTAAAAAAAAAGCCCAAGACCCTGAATTCAAGCCCCAAGACAGGCACAGGAAGAAAAAAAAAAAAAGGCAAGTTTTCCTGCCTTCCCTGATTGAGCATAGAAATCACCTGTGGTCACTTGAGGAGCTTCTAACTGGTGAGCTTTGTGCGGAGGTCTGGACAAAGGCATGCATAAGGAGGTAGGGATCCTGGCTCCCTCCACAGTCACTTAGCCTCTCAAGCTTCAAGATAAGAGAGTAATACTGTCCTCAAGATACAATTCTGAGTGTTAGACCAGAAATATTCCCCAAGTGGAGAGACTGCTGTGAGTGAATCCTTGGCTCTCACTAGTGCTGTCTTTGGTGTTCCTTCCTCCTCAGGCTGTCAGGAAATTGCTGAGGAATTCCGTGCCCAGGAGATTGATGGGCAAGCTCTGCTTCTGCTCAAGGAGGACCACCTGATGAGCGCCATGAACATCAAGCTGGGGCCTGCTCTGAAGATCTATGCCCGCATCAGCATGCTTAAGGACTCCTAGGGCTGGTGGGGCAGCAGGGTTCTGGCCCAGAACTCCTCCTCCCCACTAAGCAGAGCCAGACAGACATTCCTGAGGGGCCCGGAGGTGGGGCCAGCCAGAGGGAGGGGGCTCTCCCTAGGGGCATAGCTGGTGAGGTGGTCTGGGTGCCTCCTCAATGGCTCTCAGGGGCCTTTCTTTTCTGTGGGAGGGGTAGAGAGGTAGGTGGCACAGAAGATGGGGCTTTATGCTTGTAAATATTGATAGCACTGGCTTCCTCCAAAGTCCCAATACTCTAGCCCAGCTCTCTTCCCCTCCCTCCGTCCCCCGTTTTCCAGGGGGTTATGGTCAGGGCTTCCCAACCTGTGTTGGGTTACTTCCAAGGGCAGCCAGCAGGCCTGGAAAGGCCTCACAGCCCTTGCCTTCCTTCCTCCTGCTTTCTCCAGGCCTGGTTAGCCTTCCGTTGCCAGCTTCTCCCACTTCAGCCTGTCTCTGCAGCAGGGGGCTCCCCCACCCGCTGCCCCTCTGCAGGTGGAGAGAGAGAAGCTGGACCCAGTTTGGCCATGCCTGCCGGCACAGACGCCTTAACGCTGTGTGTATGTATGACTGTGTGACTGTATGGGACCTGGACTGGCAGACGTGAGCTGCCCTCTGGCACCTCCAGGTGTTTTGTAGCAAACAGCCACTTAGTGCTTTGTCCTGGACTCCTCTCAGCCTGAGGATGGGGAATAGAAACGAAGGGCAGCCTCGAAAAGGGCAAGATCAGAAAGGTGGAGATTGGATGGCCAGGAGGTCTCAGAAAGCCCTCCTCACATGGTGACACTTCCCAAGTGCCCTGCTGTCTCCAACAGCACTGAGAAGCTGTGGTGAACACCACAGTAATCTGGCTATCCACCCTGGCAGTCCCAAGATAGGGCCAGAGCTCTGAAGGGAGGGAACAGCTTGGAGGCACTGGGTGGGGAGGCACCCTTGAACCCCTGCTCCCACACTTCTTTGCTTGTAACAAACTTCCTACAGCAGGTACAGCTAACTGAGAGGCAGGGCAGAGGGCAAGGGCCTGCCTCTGACTTGCCCTGTCCTTACCACTCCTGGGGAAAGTCCAACTCTCCCCAGCTCATTCTATTCCTCACCCACGCCCCCAGGCAGGGTTGGAAATGAAGGACTTTTTTAAGCTTTTGTTTGTTTTTTAAAAATAAAATCTGTAAAACCTTGCTCTTTGGTGCCTTTCTCCTGTACACATGGCTGCTTCCGCGCAAATGGTTGTTTGCTCACAAGGAAGAGGGATGGGCCAGGGTGGAGGGGAGGGAGGGAGGCTGTCTTAACCATAGCCCAGCCCCTTGGTTCCTGAGCTAGCTGGTCCAGACCGAGATGCTCCTACCCTCCAGCAATGCTTTTGGACACAGCTGACATCCCGAAGAGCCCTTGAGACAGCTTGCACTTTGCAAATGTTTCCTATGATTAGGACAGAGAAGACAGCTAAGGCTTGCATGGAAGAGGATTATTCCAGACCCAGGCAGTATGAGCAAGGTCAGAATGCAGTGCGACAGTGCCAATGATTGTGTTAGCTGGCCTGGTCAGGGGAGGTATGAGCAGCCAGCAGTGGCGGGGCTGGCTGGCCCTGTCTTTGAGCCAGTCCGGTGCCGTGTTATGGGAGGTTGGAGTATACTCTTCACCTACATACCACAGGTGGAAGAGAGCTGCTACCCTGTATTTAACCCTGACCAGATTATTCCTTAAGGGTCCTGTTAAGAATGTGGGTTTTGAGGCCCAGCCCCCACCCTCCTGATTGATTCAACCTCTAAAGGAGGATTAGGCACTGTAGTTTTTAAGAATAGCCAGGACCAATGGCTCACTTCTATAATCCTAGCTACTCAGGAGGCTGAGATCTGAGGATGACAGTTCAAAGCCAAACCAGGCAGGAAAGTCCATGAGACTCCTATTTCCAATAAACTCAGAAAAAGGCAGAAGTGACTCAAGTGGGAGAGCAGTAGCCTTGAGCAAAAGAATTTCTTCTCAGTGATGGCACCAAGTCCAGAGTTCAAGTCCCGGGACTGACCAAAAAGAAAAAAAAATGTAGCCACCAACTGGAGGAGGAAAAATATGGTGGGACTAGAACCTGGTGGTGCAAAAGGCAGGGAATGCCAGGAAGTAGGACCCCCTCCCGCACCCCCAGAGGACCGAGCACAGTCCTGGAGCTCACACATGTGCACGGTAAGGAGGAAGGGAGGGAGTTGCCCACCTACCTCTTCCCTTTGGGCTCAGGAACACAGGCCCTTCCTGTACATGGGCACTTACTAGCCTGAGCATTCCAGACCTCTCATTTTTCCTTTCCTAGGAAAAATTAAAATCTGGCCCCACCTGAGTTTGCTTTTCCATGGTGAATCTGAGGTATGTGGTCAGATGGGTATTGCAGTTCTTCACTCAAGACAAGGCTCCAGCCTGATGTAGGTTTGACAGGTGTTCATTGGAATATGTTGTATACATACTCAAATTATAGGCATATGTATCTACAAAACACCTACACTTCATGTGTTTATCAAAAGCATGTGAGAATTATTCTGACTTTCGATTCTCTGTTCCTACTTTTATAGTCTTGGTCACCAGGCTCTTGGACCTCTAATGGGACACAACTTTTAAAAACACCACCAGGGGCTGGGAAGGTGGCTCAGTGGTAGAGCGCTTGCCTTGCATGCATGAGGCCCTGGGTTCGATTCCTCAGCACCACATAAGCAAAAAGAAAAAAGCCGGAAGTGGCGCTGTGGCTCAAGTGGTAGAGCGCTAGCCTTGAGCTGAAGAGCTGAGGGTCAGCGCTCAGGCCCAGAGTTCAGGCCCCACAACCGGACCCCCCCCCCCAAAAAAAAAAAAAAACACCAGTCCTGACCTTATCTGACACCCCCCTGGGTGATGGGTACATATACTCCACTTTACTGATCAGGTAAAGGGCACCAACAGAAGTGAATTGCCCAAGGTCATTGGGCCCAGTGCCATTGGCTTTAAAGGGAGCTGTCGTAAAACTATGCCTCCTGGGACCAGAGCAGCCTGCTGCGCCCCTGCCCACTCAGGAACTGGACACTGCAGGAGCTCCTGGATCATAGGGAAAGAAGTCAGTACAAATAGTTCAGTTCCTAACAACCTGGACTGGCCTTGTGAAATCCACCCTTTTCTAGGAGATCAGCCCCCTGTGGCTTTTTGTACAGAAAGCATCCAGGAGCTAATTTCTTCTGTTCAGCCACACCACTGAGTAGGTCCCTCCCAGGGTGAACCATCCCTGATTGTATCTGTGGGTGTGGTTCCTGCGGCTGAGGGTCTGGGAGGAGCCATTTGTCCCAGCAGCTGTTCCCAGGAGCAGGTCATTTCCTCCCTGGCTCTGAGTTGGGGAAGTTCAAGACAGAGTGTCTAGCTGGCTTCTCCCTATGGCTATCAAGGAGAGACTCAGGTAAGAGGGGACCCCACCAGGTGGGAGGTGGAAGTAGAAAGGGATCCAGAGGGATCAGCTGAGTCACAAATCCTGCCTGGGAGAAGGAGGTTCCAAGAAGATACACGTGGGCTACATGGTCAGGGCAAGGTGCTGTCCCAGGAGGCTGTGAGGGGGGTGAATTGCCTCCGAGCTCCTCTCCTTCCGTCCTTCACATAGGCAGACAGCAGCCACCAGAGGTGCTCACCACTAACAGCTCCCTGTCCCTACTGGGACTGACTGTCCAGCTTAGGAACCGAGTGCCTCCTAGCCCATCTGAAAATGGAGAGGGGGAGCAGGGGTTGGGAGGGGCTTGAATATCCACCTTCAGATGGAGCTGGGGACGAACAGGTCCTCTGGCAGATACCTGACCAAGGAATGTAGAGTGGGTTACGCAGGCACCTCTGTGGGCAATCACTCCAGACGGGGTCGTGGTGGGGTGAGAAACAAGAGTTGCTGGTAGGTCCTGCCCCACCCCAGCACCCCTTCTAGCCCAGCCAGCTGATTTCACCTGTATACTCAGGGTCAGTTCTTCCCGGTTATAGCCTGTGCCTCCAGGAGGTAAGCCTGAGATATGCATGAGATAAAGCTGCGCTAGCCACACCTGCTTGATGGGGGAGGGACTAGCTAAGATGGTGGGGACAGCTGCTCAGGGCACGGAGAGGCCTTTCCCTATCCCTGTAGCATGGCAGTCTTGCCAGCTTCTGGTACTACCGCCAGGACCCACCCAGGAGTCTGGGAGCCAGAACAGCACAGCTACAAGGGGGTTGGGGTGCGTTGGGGGTGAAAACACAAGGCCACCTGGAGGGGCCATGGGTCCTTGGGAGAGCAGCTGTGGTTTGGACTAGGCCTGGTCCTGTGGAGCCCCAATGCCACCCTTGAGGTCCCACTCCACAGTCAGCCCCACCACCGACCAGCCGTGTAAGCCACAGCAAGTACTTCAGCCTTTCTGAGCCGCCCCTCTCGGTTCCCAAGGTAAGAACCCTAGCCTCCACCACCTGCAGTATGGTCAGATTTTATCAAGACTGTAGCCGAGTGTTTGCTCCATGTCCACTGTTAATAAGTACAGACTTGCTCAACAAAGGTGTACTGGTTTGGGAAAGAAAGTGAAGACAAAGCATCCATCCGTGGCTTCATTCACTTCTGAATGGATGATTGATACCCCCAATGAGGGGGCAGGCTCTGGGATTTGGCGCCAAGACTACAAACTAATAAACTCCTGGAAAGGAACAGCTTGTAGTTTGGCAAGAGCTAGAGGGAAGGTTTGTTGAGGTAACAAAGGAGCATACTGGGTGGGAGTGGGGGGCCAGGAGTTGAAAATTAAGGAATGACTGGCAGGTGATGGAAATAGCCTGGAGAAAGATGGAGAGACACTAAATTGCAGGAAGCTTAGGAAACTTCAGAGTGGGAGGAGGGTGAATGATGGGGGGGGGGAGGCGACAAGGAATTTTACAGGAAGGCAGGGATGTCACAGAAAGCATGGGGGGGAGGGTAGATGTGAATGTAGAGGATTGGCCATGGAAGTGGGAAATGCTGTGTGTTTGTATAGTGTGTGAATGTGTGTGGGATGTACATGTGTAGCACATGGGTATGGTTGTGTGTATGGTGTGTATGGTATGTGGTGCGTGTGGTGTGTGTATGTGTTTTGCATGGCTGGCAGGCATATGTGTGTGGGTTGTGGTGTACATGTGCATATATGTGGTGTGTGTCTGGTGTGTGGGGTGCATGTGGTTTGTGTGTGTGTGGTATGTATGTGTTTCGTGTGCATGTGTGTGTCTGGTGTGTGTTGGGTATGTGTATGTGTGGTATATATGGTGTGAGTGTGTCGTGTGGGGGGGGGGGTGGGGGGGTGTCCAGCACCTGGGCTGTAAGGAGGAAAATCACAGGATGACACCAGAAGGGAGTTTCCTTGAAATAAGGGAGAAAGCAGCCACGGAGAGGTGTTTGAAGTCACTGGCAGGTAAACCTGTCTCAAAGACTCTTCAGTTACAGTTAAGTGTTTATGCAGGACCCCTTTTCACATTCCCAGTAATGCCTGCTGCTGGTACTCTGACCTTGAACTCATCTTTCACCCTCCTGGCCACCAAGTGCAGGCTCTGTTGTCCAGTCTGATTGCTTTCGAATAGTGTTTTGTTTTCTTTAGTAAATAAAAATGACTCCACTGATCCTTAAGATAAAATCTGAGGCGCCCAGGCCTGGAGTGCGTATCCTGTGGCCTGGTCTTGTTGGTCCCCGCAGCCTGGGCTCTCAGCATTCCCCACCTGTGCTCTACCTCTGCTCCAGCAGGACTGCAGCTGCACCTTCATACCAATTTCATGGGATATATATTGGGTTCTTGATTACATTCTCCCTCCCTTCTCCTCTTGTCTACCTTTCCTCTTGACCCCATCCCACCCCTTTCAAGTGTCCATTTCCTGGCATCTTATTTTACTGAACTTTGATTTTGCCTTTCTAAGGAATTACACTATTTGAGTTCTCCCTTGAATCTACCATATTTCAGTTAATATGTTTATTATATACACTTGCATACACCCAACATATTATAAGTTTATAAGCTATCTCTAGTTTCCACACATAGGGGAAAACATGTATCTTTTGTCTCTCTGGACCTGACTTCACGCTTATTTTTTTAAATTATTAAGGTGTTGTACAAAGGAGTTACTGCTTCATAAGTCAGGTATTTAAAATTTTTTTATTGTTATTATAAAGATGATAGAGGGCTTATAGTTTATACTTTTTTTTTTTCTTTTTTGCCAG